TAGATTTATTTCACTGTGAATGCAAAAGAAAATTATCCTTCCTTTCTACACTAAAATGAGTCTTCAGATCCATGAACACTTGTATGATGGTGAAAGACCCATGGGCTTGCATCTGTGAGAGAGTAGGGAAAATATCAGCATGATACATTTTAAAAAATTAGAGGAAAAGTCACATATCCTGTATTATGGCATTTATTCTTTCTGTCTCAAGAAAATGGAAGCAAGCCAGAGAAGAGAATATGGAATCTAATTTGATCTCCAAACATTTTAAAACTGTGGGATAGAGCAACTTGGGTAGATTACACAGAAATCTGTAGACATTAGGATATGGCACTTACTAAATATGTTCAGATGTTTGGTGACTGTTTCTGAAGCTTTAAAAAACTTTCCATTGTGGGAAAGCCATCTGGCGGGTCATCCACATTTGCTCAATGAGAAATTCTTCGTAAAAGTGAAAGTTAAGGACTGTCCTGAGCCTGACTGATTAAGAACCAAGAGATATGTCTGCTGGCAGGGCCAAGTCCCTTTATCAGTTTCAGTTCAGACAAGAATTGCTGGGAGAACAGTCGGACACCCCAGACAGTTTCTGACAGACTTCAGAAGGCCAGTGAGCAGTGAGGAAATTCTGTGGCAGGGATAGCCTTCTCAGACTCTGAGCACAGATGACATTTGCACAAACATACTGTGGTTATGCTACAGATTTTAAGAACCGCCTTGGGAACAAGATGAGAGGGGAATTCCTTTGTATATAATAAAAAGTGACCAAAACCTCATGTTTGGATATAAAACAACAACAAAGTGAAGGAGACTGCATAAAGAGTACAAATAGAAATACTCTAGTAAGATTTGTTTAAAATTTTTGAGGGTATTCAAAATACATTTTAGTGTTACTGTTTGCAATATTTTCTATGTATATTAAACATTTGTTTCATTAAGGAAGTGTATGGTATTTTAAAAATTTTCTGGAAGTCAATAACACCTGTTTTCCTGAGCTGTGTCTCGGATCCCTTGAGGTGTGAAACATTGAGAGTATCTTGAAGAGTCAGGGCTGTAAACAGGACGTCAGCTAAAAGTGAGTGGGAAGATGGGAATTTAAGGACCTGTGCAAAACATTGCCTACATCATTATATTAACATAGTTTAGTCTGCCAAAAGCAAACATGTTTAAACAGGAAATACCTTAAATATGCTAGCCTACATCTCAGCTGATGTCCTTAATTTTACTTTGGGATATACTGCATCAGCCCAAGTTCAGCACTACTGCAAAAGACCTCCTGATTTCCCTTTCCAGCCCTACATAGACAACCTTCCTTCATCAGTACAAAACCCGTCATTATTGTTGGCCTGCTGTTGCTTTGTCTCTCTGCAGGACATGTTCCATTTAAGCTTCGTGCTGAGGTACCACATCTAGGCTCTGCCTTGATGAAAGTTGTTAGTATTTTCTGCTTAAAAGCTCTTGGAGTCTTTCCTGCAGAGCAGAAATTCTCATTACCCATCTTGAATATTGCAGTGTTCTTTCCCTTACCCTTATCAAAAGTAGTCTCACCTCTCTAGAAAGCTATTTTCCCTTCTTTGAGCTTGTTGGGTTGACTATATCAAACCTCTCTTCACATTTTCCAGTGGCTTCCTTCTCTCTATGACATCCTTATCTTCACTTCCAAGGTGCTCCACAATTTATCCCCTCCTTGAAATCATCTTTTGTGATACAGTTAGTCCCTGATGCCAGTTTTTCTATGCTCACTTTGTATTTGAGCTTTTTCCATGAGTACTGAATAAATGTTCTCAGAGTGACCTTGGTGTCTCCCTTCACATTTGTTTTCCCATTGCCTCAACTTTACTAGTAACTCAAGGCCCTGTTCTGTGCTTGTGGATGCCTTTGGGAGTTTTGCTGCAAGCATGAACAGGAGCAAGAGAGAACCTCTGCTATGAGATACTGGGATAGTGTTATAAACCTTAGCTAATGTTTTGGTTGCCATGTCATCAGTGCATTTGGTTGCATATTGTTTCTCTTTCTTCTAATGGAAAAAGTAAATGAGTAAAGCTGTATTGAATAAGAGGGGATTTTGTGTTAAACTCTGCGTGATTCAGTTTTAAGAAGGACTGGAAGCAGTTCAGTGAAAACTAGTCTGAATCATAAACTTAAAACTGAACACCTCTTGTCCTTGAAATTCAAGGTTGAAGGAAAAGTTCAAGCTTTAAATCTCCGTGGGTTTTGATCCTGGGCTGCATTCAAAACCAGAAGGGACTTATTTTGCAAATGCAATTTGATATGGCCTGGGATAGCATAAATTTCACACAAACATCTGGGAAGAATTTTGCTGATAGAAAGAACATGGAAGTATTGTTTCTTCATAATGCACAGCAATATAAAGTTAACATATATGTTTTCTAAAATAATTTCCACTCTGACATTAAAAATGTGGGCCATTAGTCCAGAAGAATAGCAGAGCAACTTTGAATAATTTTTTGCATCCTAATTACATATTGTTATTTTTATTTCTAAAAGAATAAAAATACCTGCTGGGTAGAACTAATGATGTCCAATGCCATCAAAAGGACAGTGCAATTTAGGGAAAATATGTGAGCTTGGCTACATTTTGTGGTCTGTTCTTCTCACACTCCCTGAGCACCCAGAAAGACTGTTGTAAGGATGTTCTGGGACATATTCATGTCTACTTCACCCTGGTCTTAGTGCGGATCTACCGTCCATCAGTTCCTCTAATTCTTTCCTGAACCTAGAGGCACGTTGTGCCTCCACAGCTTCAAATGGCAACAGGTCACAAAAGCTCACAACACCCTATGTAAAGACACCCTTTTGTCTGTTTCAAACCAATCTCTTACTAACTTCAAATGGGCTCAAGTCCGGTCATTAGAGAGTGTGGCAAAGAGAAGTTCTGTATTTGCCTTATCCACTGGCTCTGGATTTCATAACCCTTCATCCCGTCTCTCCTAACCCAGCTGTCTCTTCAAGCTGAACAGTCCAGAACTTTTTACTGTCTCCTGGTAAAGTAGCTGCTCCAACTCCTGGAACATTTTGTTGTCCTCCTCCTCACCAGCTGCACAATATCCTTCTTCAGTTATGGAGATCAGGAGTATACACTGCATTCAAGATGTGAACCCATCAAGCTTTTATGTAATTCCCTCCTTCTTCCTTCCTGACAACGCCCTGCATTTTTTTGGCTGCTGCTGCATGCTGAGCTAATGATTTCAGCAACAACTAAGAACTCTTGCCTGAGCCATCACTGTCATCTCTATGTTCAATTCAGTGCAGCAAAACAGTTTAGATTATTTTATTTCCAGATGCATTTGTTTATGTTTATCTGCATAGGTAATCCTTTGCCCCCTTTTTACCCTCAAGCTTAGTTTTCTGAGGTCCTTCTGAAGTTCCTTGCCATTAGCACTGCATTTGGCTGTCTGAGAGAGCTTAATGCCTATTGCTTGGAGATTGCACTGTGAACTCCCACCACCACATCATTGATGAAGGTTCTGAATAAACCTGGTTTTAACACTGATTCTGAGGGAACAAACTACTGACTCATTTCCATCTAGAAAAACGACCTTTAAAGGCAGCTATCTGTTTTCTGTCCCTTTACTAAGTTTAACTCCATAAATGATCCATGACAACTTAGCTTCCATAAAAACCTCTGGTGTGGAACTTTAAAAGTTTTGGAAACTCCATGTTATGTCCCCAGGGAAATCCTTTATCCTTTATTGACATGTTCACTGGCACACTCCAGGTGCTTGATCAGGCTACTGAGAAAGGATTTCCCTTTGGGGAAGCTATTCACCTTTCCTAAAAGACCATGTTCTCAATGCTTTTACTTATATTTTATAGAGTATATTATCTGAACTGATTTAACAGCCTGTAGTTATATCCGAAGACTTTCTAACCAGACTGCTGCATTAAACAATGATGCCTAATCTCCATAAAGTGTGTTCTCAATGTATTATTCATATCCTGGAGATGGGTAAATGGTGCAAGTTTCCCAAAGCTGTAGCTCTTGCTGAAAATTATTTTTATATGCTAAGTAAATAAGTCCAAGGGAAGCCAGCTCCAACAAGTGATCACACCCACTTAATTTCATTGCTAGGCAAAGAAAACAAAACCAAAATAAACCCCAGGTGTGTTACAGCCCTACAGTTATAATGTAATTAGCAGCATGATATGAACTGTTCATTTCAACCAGGTTTCTCAGCTTATATACACAGTTGCCCCATATTTCTATAGGAGTAGTCTTTTTATTTTTCTATTTTAACTCCTAATTAAGTTGTGTTTGTTTTTCTTTCCCACTCCATTGTTTTTCTTTCATCCATCAATTTTTCTTATCTCTTAACTTCTTTATTTTTCCCACTAAGAAGTGGTAAAAATGCTAAATTACAACCTTTAATAAAATACTTCCCTCTATTATTAACATAGATCTATCCTCTGCATTCATTTAAAATCAATGTGTTGAGAAAAACTGGTCGATTATTGAGAAAATATTACCCTTTCAATGCCAGTAAGAAAAAAGTCTATGCAATCCAGAAAAAATCCTTACAATATCAAGTTCTTACAAATACACCTAATTTAAAGTAAAGAACATACAATGTTCTGTTTTTTTAAAGAAATGTATCTGACATTGGACAAACATGCATACACACTACTTACACATGTTATAGTGAAGTTGTATGAACCAGTACTCTAAGGGCTTGACCAAACTACTCTGACTGGCAAAAATAATGATGCAGTATCCAAGCTTGTCTTTTGGGGGTTCACTTCATGGTATTTATCAGTCTTGACATTTCACCCCCACCATGCAGTAGAAAGGTTACCAAGAGCACAGCACAAATAGCCTGTATTCCCAAGAGCATATTTTAATCAGGAAGAAAAACAGTAACTGCAGACTCTGATAAGAAAGGGGCTCTGTGTGAGGGAAATATCATAAACTGCATGGAAGAGTTTTGCTCGTGCCTGGGGCCAGGCACATCCTGTGGTTCAAAAGGGAATGAATGATCACCTACCACCAGCTGGAGCTGCGCTCTGGAGTCGTGCACAGAGGTGCAGAAGAGACACGTCCCTTTCTTGCTTAGCTCCCATCACCTGTCTTTCCTGTGGATTGAAAAAGACAAACGAACAAACAAAACAAAAAGTTGTTTCTTTTCATCTACGAGGAAGCATAATCTGTGGTACCCTTGTGGTCTTAGTCCCTTAATTTTCTTGGTAAACCCTACTGGAAATGTGTTATCTATTATTGTTCCTTCTCTGGTGTACATTTCAAATTTCTTTTTAGTTCATTTTGTAAGCCACAAACAGTTTATTTTGTAAGCCATCCTAATTTATTGCTCCCAAGAGAAAATTAAGCAGTATGTGACTACACACTGCTGCTGACTCCCACCATGCTCAGGTGATATGGCTGAGCTGGAGTCACATCCCAACCATTATTGACTCCTTCAGTGGCATCCCTTCCCAGCAGCTGCCTCTGTCTGCCTACCCCTTGCCCCTGCTGCCCAGCAGTCAGGCACCCACTCAAAGTAGCAGCTCAAGTGTGGGACTCCTCTCCATACAGCACAAGCTTGCACCCTTGGACAGAGCCAGAGAGGTGCTGGGGAGCCCTGACCATACAGGTAAACTGGCAAACAGCAGGAGTGAGAGTTCTGGGTGAAGAAACATCTTCAGCCTCTTTGGTTAACCTCAGTGTGCTGTACTAGAGACACAGTAGCATGCAGAGATGTATTAATCCCTCATAAATCATCACAGGGGAGCAAGAGGCAGATACGATGGGTAGTAGATGAGCTCAGACAAAAATACAAGAGCCAGTGATTTTGAACAGGGAAGGCAGTGAGGGGAATAACAGGAGCTGGTTGCACACACAGGCAAATGGAGCAGAAAGCCTACGTGCTGAGTCCTGAGCACTCCTCTAGGCCAATCGTGCTACAACATCTCTTGTTGCACTGTTCCACGGACTTCAGCTCCTTGCACTGGAAACAAACACCCTTTAGTCTCAGGATCATGATCTGGTGGCTGCAAGCCAAAAATGCCCGTACTGTGCAAACAGCAAGGGGTGGAAGAGTACATGCCATCAAGTTTTCACCAGCACACTATGACTCAAAAAGCAGGAATAGTTAAAGGGATTACAGCTTTTTGTCCACTTTTCTGCCATGGCAGGGATGTTGAAAACATTGGGTCCTCAGCTACTGAAGGTCATAATCTGCTACATTAACTTCAACCTCCCTTATTGATCTCTTCACTCACACCAACTCCAGAGTTGATGACTTGAACAAAGATGGAGAAGGGAGCACAGAGGTTACACTGATAGCCTCTGACAGGTAGACTCCTAGCCTGAAGGATGGATCTCTTCGCTCCGTATTTGCCATCTACTTCAGAATTTCCTAACATATCTATCTGGAAAGAACAAGCTCTGTGTGTCTGCAGTTTTGCTACTTTATTGCTTTTTTTTTTTCCAGTTCTGTAATCTTTTTAGGCATTTTGTAGCTGGAAAAAAAAAAATTCTTACTTATTGTTTTGAAGATCTCACATTTCTAAGTGTATTTCATCATCAGAGGGGATCTACCTCAGGACTTCTGAGTGCATGGCACTGTCTGCCCACAATGCAGCCTACATTAGCCTGTAAGCAGACACACACTTCCTAGTGCTGAAATTCTCAAGACATCTCTCCACTGTGGCTTCAGCTGTGGTCTCACAGTTCTGGATGCTGTGAGGTATATACCAACAGGGCTAACTGCCTTGAAAAGCTGCATGTTATCTAGCAGCAGCTTAAAAAAAAGGTGCCTACTAGGTAGCAGTGTCACTCTCACTGCTTGACTGGAGAGCACAATGAGGCTGTTTGAGCCTAAGCCTGGTCACTATCCAGTAAAAATGAAAAACAACGTTGTAACAAATCAGCTTGAACTCCACTCCCCAGGTATTCAGTGACATTAAGATGAATTTCTCCATTTGCGTGCAATCTGCTTCTTTCTTTGCCAAAGTTTCTCCACCATATTTTCAAGTCCAAAGTCATGGTCATCAATATTTGATTAATTTAACTAGGAATAGTTAAGATAATCTGGGGATATTATTTAGACATAGAAGCCAGACATCAAAGATGAAGCACTGCTTAGAGTGTCCATAGGTCCATCATTACTCAAGTAGAAGATTCAGTGCAGAATTAAGTGGGTTTCTACCTTTGCCTGATGTAGGTTTTTATCAGCCCTAAAATAAGCTCTCTACACAACCCCACAACAATTATATCGTGCATTGTTTACACTGGACTGAGGCCACAGTTTTTGGCCTTCCATGATACCATATAAGCAAAATGTTTTCTATCAGGACATTTTGCCCATGTACTATTTAAAAAATGTATAATGTGAACGTGGAGTATAAATATTTATACCACATTCACTTAACCTCAATCCATCATATATATTCAGCTTTAACTGTGTAAGTTTTGGGGGAGTAGTATAGCTTCCAGTGCAACTTGTCAATAGCCCATGCCTGTTACAGGATGGTTTTTCCTTCCTTTTTTCCTCTGTACCCCACAGGGAAAGAACATGGTGGTCAAGACCAGAATTTATCATTCCAAAGCATAATTTATTATTAAAAGATTAATTTGTTGATAACTGCATGCTATTCTTTCCTAAGTTACAGACAAACACCACAAGGCATTATCCAAACTCTGTTGGAGATATTCCCAAGGGTTTTCATATCTTCAGTAGGTTTTGATGTTATCTTTGGCTGCACTCCAGCTGATCTCCTTACATATTGATTACTGCCCTCACAAATTAGACCACTGTTATACCTCTTATTGTAAGGGTTTTTAATTAATTAGTTCCATTTAAATTTCTTTGTTCTTGAAGTTTCATTAAACAAATGCATAGAATTCATTTCCAGTTATCCTTACAGGATGAGTGTACATTCTTCCTTACACAGGCGGGGATGGATGCTTTCATACTACTCTTGTATTTCAAACTCTCCAGCCTTGCCCTGCATGTATAGGCATCCTCTCTCACTAACAATTATCATGTACCACATCTGCAGAGAGCTGAAGAAATTAATTAGCAAAACTTTATTTTGCTTTAATTTGTTGGAAAACATTTTTGGTCAGTCAATGAAACAGACTAGCAAAGAAATAGGAATTATGTAAGTGACACTATATGGATCACAGTTACTTAATATATTAATATTAAATGTCATCTAATGTAGTAAGTATTCTTAGTATAAAACTACTGCACACACATGATTTCATGTAAAGAATTAGAAAATATATCCTAGCCCCACAAAAACAAAACAAAACAAAACAAAACAAAAAACCTCCCAAGGCTTTCATTAATTTTCACATAAAAATATCCAATTAATACTTATGGCAGAATGTTTATTCTTCAAACTTTTTCCAAAAGCCTCATCTCTTTGTACAAAAGGGAAGCTGAAAATAACACAGTTGTTCAATGTCATACATATAAAAATGAATGTTTAGCTGAGTTGAATATGGCTGAAAATGCATTCACAGAATAAACAATTTAATTTTCCTCCTTAAGAGTGACCTTGCAAAACCGGCTTTGCTCCAGGAAGTAATAACTGACTCATCATGATGACTAGTTCAAAATTAAAATACCCCTGACTTTCCACACCATGCAAGTCGTGGAAGGTAATAGACTCTACCTTGGTAAGAAGCCAGCCAGCTCCACTCAAGGTCATCCAGTCAAGCACTGCTATTTTTGGTAGCTAAGCAAGGCCAAACCACTGCAATTTTCAAAGAAAGAAGACCTAATAAATTTGAGAGGTAAGGACGGAGAAGGAAAGCCAAGTCACCCCATTGTGAGGAAGGAAGATGAACACAGTGCAGCCAGCTGGGGCTTGGAGCAAGTCTGCTTCATCTGCCCAGTGACATAAAAACTGAAAAAGAAGAAGGATGGATTAGAAAAATGTAATAAAACTGTTTAGAGATTTCTTCCTTTATTAGCTCTATTGAATGGCTTTACTTTCCAAGGGAATGCATCAAGCAGAGGATATTTTAAAATCTTATAACTGCAGTACACAGCATGAGATCTGAAAGTCAGGGGATTTTTCTTGGAGAGTAATGCCACCGAAGGATTGTTACCTGTCACTGATGGTTTGTGTTGTGCACCCTATGGGCTTTCTTAGGGTACCATACGTGTGGCCTCCCTGCAAGGCAGGGACATTGTCCAGCCTCCCAGGAGCTGGCTGGTGTGCAGCTGCTGTGGTTACCTTGCTCAGGTATGGTAGGGCTGAGCCCTGCCAGCCTGGCTCACCCTCAGTGCCTGCTCTGTTCCTCCTGCAGGGCAGCCTGTCCTTGACACAGCCTGACAGATGAATCTTACAACAGAACAACATACAAGAAAATGTAGTGTCTGTTTTACATAAGCTATTTATGGACCTGGGTCATTCAGACAAGGAAGAGAGCAGGCTCAGAGGGCTGTTTGCAGTCCCATCACAATCATCCAGTGTTTTTACCATTATTCTTCACAATGCTGAAGAACAAGAGCAGTAAGAAATGAGCACTGCAGCGTTATAGTGACAAGATAAAACTTTATTCAGGCTAAATAGGGTAGCTGCTAACTGAAGCCTCAGGGTTTCAACTACAAAGCCAGTGTTAAGATGACGTTGATTGGATGGTTTTTCTACACAGAGAAAAGAAGAGGACAATCGAGCAAATTAGCAGAGGGAGAGAAGGGACAGTACATCTGGAATATGTGCAGTAAACCACAGATTTCATTACAAATCATAGCCATGTGTACATTTGCTAAGCCAGCTGTGTATGTCTATTTTAGATATGCTATAGGGTAGTTTTGCACCAATAACTCTTTAAACATTATTCTGTTTTTACACTGAAAGTCTGTCCCTTCAGTGTACTGAAGCTCACCGTTCTTTGACAAAACCATATTAAATAAATAATCCACTGCTTTGATGTTTTTGGTTTCAGGAGAATGAAAACAACATTCTTCCAGTGAATGCTGCAAGGAATTCTATTTTCCAGCATTAACAGCAAACTGTCACTTGTGCAGTCACATTTGCATGCCCACCTCCAATTAGTGTCGATGATGGTGTTACATGCATGCAACCTGGTCTAGTGGAAGATGTCCCTGCCCATGGAG